GGGGGGGGGGGGCGGGGATGGGAAGATCGAGAGGTATTCTCATGAACACGCATGAAGTGGTGTCGCGACCATTGACTTCGCATCCCTACACAATGCCGGGACGGAGCGGTACGCGAGCTTTTCGCCCACCCGGGCTACGTTTCACAAGGATCAACCAGAAGCTACTGTAGTCATCATCCTGGCGTTTCATTGCCGGGGGGCGGGAGGGGGGTACATGGGAATAAAACGAGCTACACATTATACGCGGCAGCGGAGGGGATAGCAAGTGTTCCCGCGGTGGCAACACTCCCCCCCTCCCTCCCTCCCCCCCGTACAGACCACGGCTTACAACAACTAGCATTTCGATCTGCCCGCAAGCACAAGCGGGCGGCAACAACCGCGACAGCCAACCCGGTGCTAGCACCGCAGCACAAGCGGCGTCCTCCTGCTGGTTACGCACCGAAACACATAAAAAGGCCGATCCATCTCCGGCGCGTGAAACCGGCCAACGCGAAACAACGAAGAACATTCGAGGCGGCAACACAAGAAAAATAAATAAATGACAACGGGTCTAATGCACTCGTAGACATTCGAAGCAGCAGCTCAGGGCGGGGCATTCCCGCTCTCACCTCGAGCTTGCTCTTGCCCTTGCTCGAAGACTTCTTGAGGGACAGGCCGCCGAACAGACCCCTCTTGGGCTTCTTGGCCTCCGCGGATGCGCCCGTCGAAGCCCCTTCTTCCGTTGTCGGGTCGCCTCCCACTGACTGCGCGGAGGATGACGGAGTGGAGGCGTGGACCCCTCCCGACGGGGTTTCCAGGGACACGGAGCTAAGCGGCGTATCGCCGGCGGAGGATGGAACTCCTCCCGAGGCGTCGCTAGCCGGTACCTGCCAACAAGAAAAACGCAGCCAACATGCGCACGCATAAAAAATCGTTGTGCAGTGATTGGGCTACATGATGGATCACGTGTTTAATATACCCGCGGGGGCGTCGCTAGAGTCTACGTAGACGTCTTGACGAGAACGATAAAAACAAAACACACGCAAGTCAAGGTTGGTACAGTAGGTGTCCCGATATAGTGCCGGAATGTGTCCAGGCGATTTGACCGGCACTATACCGGGCACCGGCTCTATTCAGAATTGTGCCTGAATAGTGCCAAACGGCACTATTCAGGGCCCGAAAATCCCTATACAGTGCCGGCTTGGCACTATTCAGGACTGTTCGACTTCAGAGTGCAGCGCTTGCGCTTTGCGGGCCTGGCAGAGTACCAAACGAACGGTATTTGGATCAATCGTGAGGTGGGCGACGTGGTCGGGCTTCATTAAGTTCGTGAGGCTCTTGGACTGTCGAAAACACGGCATTGGTCACAATCAAATTAACTTGATTGACAAGCACTATTCAGGGCCCGAAAATCCCTATACAGTGCCGGCTTGGCACTATTCAGGACTGTTCGACTTCAGAGTGCAGCGCTTGCGCTTTGCGGGCCTGGCAGAGTACCAAACGAACGGTATTTGGATCAATCGTGAGGTGGGCGACGTGGTCGGGCTTCATTAAGTTCGTGAGGCTCTTGGACTGTCGAAAACACGGCATTGGTCACAATCAAATTAACTTGATTGACAAGCACTATTCAGGGCCTGAAAATCCCTATACAGTGCCGGCTTGGCACTATTCAGGACTGTTCGACTTCAGAGTGCAGCGCTTGCGCTTTGCGGGCCTGGCAGAGCACCAAACGAACGGGGATTTGGATCAATCGTGAGGTGGGCGACGTGGGCGGGCTTCATTAAGTTCGTGAGGCTCTTGGACTGTCGAAAACACGGCATTGGTCACATTAAAATTAACTTGATTGACAAGATAGATTTGTTACATAGCAGTTGTTCTCTTCCCACCTCAGCGCAAGCACTCGCTAATGGTTGCTGCCGCCTTTCAACCGTAGACTGTGCTGCCCGACAAAAGTTCACCTCGCTATCAAATTATTATGTGTTGTATTGCAAAAAGGCCGTCGCACTATTATTATTCAGGCAACCTCGAAGGCACCCCTGGACAGCGAAAGAAAGACGCGCATGCATGCACCCGATGTACATTTGGAAGTAAAATATGGATGGATGTAGTGCTCCTTACTTGAGCACACAAAAGCAGATGCAACCTAAAAAAGGGGTGAAGAAGATAACGAACTCCCCTGTTCCTTCGATAAAAAGCTAGAGAGAAGACCAAGCCTTCAAAAGCAAGAAAAACGACTGGCCAACCAAAAGACGTCGTCAGTCTCAGTGCGGTCAAAAACAGAAAACATTTGTTTGTCAAGGAAGTGAGAGGGTGTCACCGAGGAGGCTGAGCTACTATCTGGATAAAGGACAGAAATGGTAGCAACCGAGAGAGGAGAACGACGTGACTGCCAAGGCTTACTACCTTTGAACACGCGTCTGTTCGGAGTGTTTTCGTCCTTCCTCATTTAGATTTACAAGTATTTTATTCACCACTACTACACTCTTCACTAACATCTTTCCACTATTTTTCGGGCTTTCATCTCCAGATTCTGCGCCCCTGCGGCGTTTGTTGCGAGGAAGGTCATCTCGCTCGAAACTCTTGTTGTTCCCCTCAACGCCATATTTTCCTCCTGCGTCATCACTGCTATCCCTGGATATAGGTTCCATATTCATCCTTCGTCACTACCACCATCTTCTTTTTCGCTCGCCTCCCTACTGAAATCCCAGCCTATTGGTGGAACCTAGTCGATCCGTAAACCGTGACATTTGAAGACGTCACACGTACCGAGAGAAACCGAGCTATACTTGTAGCTCGAAGGGAAACCGTCTCCGAATCCTGTCGGCGTGGAAGGCTTGAGGCGAAAAAAGGCTGTGTGTGGGGTGTGAAACCGGCACTATTGAGGGGTTCGACAGTGCCTGGACCGGCACTATAGCGGGCAGCCCTCAATAGTGACGGTTTGGCACTGTTCAGGCCTGTGTCTGTGTCAAGAAAATTTACCGGCACTATAACGGACTTTGGCACTATTCAACCGGCACAATATCGGGACACCTACTGTAGCACAAAAAACATCGTTTTGGACAATCCCTCACGCGCCGTGTGGCAACGATGTTCATTGTCATAAAAATAATCCATCCCGCGGGTGCATGTACCCACCGACAACACACGATACGAAAACAGACCATGACAGACCATGATCGATCGAAATCGACGGACTGCTGTGACAAGAGGGAATCGGCCTCGACAGACGATGGGAAATCATATGTACCCCTATACGACGGGAATCTCCACAGGACGAGTATTACACCGCGGCAGAATCAATAGTGGCAGCATGCGGTTACCGACCATCCAGGGTCACGGCAGCAGTTGGGCATTGGCTGCGGCGTGCAATCGCACGCACGCCTCCAACAACGAGGGTTACAGGGGTAGATGAATATGTAGATGCCCCCTTGCAGCGCCAGCACCTCTCGACCAATCTTCCCCCGCCCCCCCACAAAAAAAAAACGACCTTATCTCCCAAAAAATGACGATGGCGTTCCCTCCGAGAGGCTGAAACCGTGCCTGATGCTCACTCTGTCTCACCTCGGAGGTTGAAGACTTGCTCTTCCTCAGGAACGATGGTGTCCTGAAGCCGAACTTGCTCTTCTTGCCCTTCTTCGACGCCGAGGAAGGTGCGTCGAACGTAGCCGCCAATCCGGCATCCACCAGCGGGGTCTGCCGCTGAAAAAGCAGAGAAGGAACCAAAAGGCAAGACATGCACACACACGACACAAGAGGATTGGAAACTTTCACTCGTTACAAGCTTTGGACGTGGCATCTGTCAACCACGCCGTCGTGCCGAAAAAAAAACAGTCACATCCGTTTCAAGTGCTGCTACCACGACATTAAGTTGAGACTAAAAAAAAAAGACTCTCCGATACAAGGAGGAGGAGAAGAGCGTGAGTCGACGCTTCTTCCACTGCAGCATATTTACCTCAGCATCGTCTGGCTGGTCGTTCGACTGCCCAGCAGCGACGGCATCGTTGATAGCGGCGCCCCCCAAGTCTAGTACCGCCGCAGTGGCGTCAGAAGCATCGCCGCCGCCGCCGACCTCCGCGACCCCCTTCTCCCGGATAGCGACGCTGAGAGGGGGGATGTCCCCGGAAAACGGTACCTCCGCAGCAGACGGCGGGGGCCCCAAAACCGCGCTGCCGGCGGCGGTGACCGAAGACCTGTCAGTACCGCCGACGGATGCCGGGATCTCGTTATCTGCAGTCGGGACGACGACGTCGGCTGGTGGCACACCAGCATCGTCGGACGGCAAGCCCGGTACGGGGGCGGGCGCGGTACCGGTAGCGGAAGAAGCAGCGTCGGGGGTGCTCCCGAGGTCGTTGCTCTCCACGCCTGCTGCGATGCGGCAACGGGCCAGAAGCAGTTGCGGCAGTCAAGCAGAGCGCGTCGACGATGATGTACATGAGGTGGTAGCGGAAGAAACATATCTACAAGTGGGAAAGAGAACCGACCACAGCAGAATCGGACAACCTACAAAAAAAAAATTGCGACGAAGGCGCGAGCGGAACCCTGCCACAAAAAACACGCGGCTGTTACTACTACAATAGTACTACAGACACAGACCGTGCTGCCGTGAATAAACACTTGCACGAGACAGAGAAGGGCCAAAAAACAAACAAACAGGCGGCCGAAACACGTCAACTACAATCGAAATCATCTTCATGAGCCAGTCGCTTACCCGGCACTCCCAAAGACGACGCGGTCATTGGAACATCCCCGTCAACGGGGGGTTCCGCAGAATCCGCAGCCGTGTCCGGCAGGGGGACGACCCCGCCCCCTACTGCCGCCGTGTCGGGAACAGATGCGTCACCGTTTTCGGGGGCGGGCATTTCTCCTTCGCCCGCATCATCGTGATCCGGCGGCGAGCTGCTCGCCACGCTTGGCAGCACGGGGATTTCCTCCGGCGGCGGTGGCGGCTGCGTGCCGTCCGACCCATGCAGAGCAGACAGGTCGCCGGCGCCGCCTTCGCGAGGTACCTGTCAAGGACGGGCCGTATCAGTAAACTGGGCGGAAGAAATATAATTAAAGCTGGAAAGCGTTGTTGGTGTTCATGGCCTGACGTGTGAAATCCCTGGCTATAGGCATGGGAAGGGGTCGCTGTGGAGCTAGGCCCGTAACAACGACAACAGAGTTTTTCGCCTGTGGCGTTTTTCACTGCACAACACACGCGGCCTATCCAGTGGACGGCTTCCTGCACCTTTCAACAGCATTCCCGTGTTTCCTTCTTTATTTTCTGTTTTCCTCGAATGNTTTGAGTTTGCCAGACACATAGACGCGTTGAGTAAGAATAGCTGTATACTGATAATCCACAGTAGCTATGGTGAGGGGACAATTCGAGCATGCAGTTCCCCCCCCCCCGGTGTTTGCCATCGGGATTGGGTTTTCGTCGCTTGGCAACGACGTTGTAAAACAAGCCAATGTAAAAAGGGTGTTTGCCCGACACGAGATAAGGTGCCCCAAGCCTTATATACTGACATATGGTGCCCACACTAAGTCACTTCGTGAACTCGGCAACCAGGTTACCG